GGGGGGGGGGGGGGGGGGGGGGGATATATAGCTCTCTGTATTGCAGAAATTTTTATGCTTTTCGCCATAGGAAAAGTTATTTATAGTAGTATCTTTTCTTTAAAAGAAAATTTAAAATTCAAATTTTAATTTCAGAAGATGGAAAATTTTCTTCTCTATTTACTTTCGAGAGTTTATAAAGTAAACCTTAATAATTGAAAAAAGAAAAAGAAAAATATGAATATAATCTCTTTGGTTTATTTTATATGTACTTTTCTTTTTGAGTTGTTTCAAAAGAATTGACACATTTGTATTAATTATAAATTATTAATTTTAACTTCTTTCACTTTACCCAATTGACATGCTGTAATAGTAGGAATTTACATGAGATATTGAAGATCACGAAATACCAAAGAGTACTTATCTCTCGTAAAAAAAAAAAACCTAAAGCCTGCAAATTAAATAGAATAATAAAAGTATTGGCAACTAAAACTGAAAAGTTGAAGTCATGCTCAGAAGTGGTCCCAAAACCACACAACCAATTAAACTCCTGTACGAAATCAGGAAAACATGCTCAAAGTAAGTGGGCTCCCAAACAGACCTTAACCTCATGGTGGGGTGGGTTATGGTGACAGATGTCGATACTATAACTTTATTTTAAAAAAAGCCCCTCTAATGTAAATTAATTGTGGGATTAGTACTATTAATTTCTTTATCCTTTATACGCTAATCCAAAAGTTTATATATTACTAATATATCTCCAGAGGTACATACATTTGGCCAATTGCTTCATGATGCTAAATACCTGCTAGCCAGTGCTTTTATTGTATTGGTGTTTTTTTTCAATTGTAGGTGTCATTCTCTCTCCGGGACCAGTTAATTGTATTGATAGACTAAAATTATTAGTAGGTGATTATTTAGGTAATATAATTACTTTTAAAGAATATGAACATATTCCTTGATGTGTACCTTTTTTGGAAACATATCGCGTTTAATAGTTTATATGCACAAATTGGCCCCTATATTATTCTATTAGTTTATATGCACTAATTGACTCTTAAAAACTTCTGAAAGACTATTTCACATTCTGTTGCTTTAATCCTATATTTCCTTCTTTGTCAAATGAAATTTAAATTCTAGAGGAATAAAAACAACAACAACGACGACAACGACCCGGTGTATTCTTACAAGTGGAGTCTGGGGAGGGTGAGATGTACACGGTCTTACCCCTATTCTGAACGGACAAAGAGGTTATTTCCGATAGACCCTTGAGAAATAAAAACTACGTTATGCTTAATTGCTTTTACTTCTGTTTTTTTTTTCTAGCTGAACACTTATATGAATTGATATTCCTTACAATAGCTAGCTGAGTAAAAGAAATTAATGAATTTGTTTTTTCTCCTTGCTTACTTCCTTATTGATGTTATTATGACTTTCCCTTCTTTTTTAAACTAAGTATGAAATTTTCAAAGTGATAATACACTTTGTTCTTGAATTATACAACATTTACGAAATTAGGTAAAACATCAACAAGAAAAGGCAGGTCAAAATATTTTGAGAAAATTGCATATTCGAATTGTCAGTCATGGCTGATCAAAATGGTGTAATGACTTTTTATACAGCAAAACCAAGTTATATAGTGTATTAAATTGTATAAGAACTCGTGAAGAGACCACTTTACAACTTTTATCCTTTTCCCCTGAATTCCATTTTATTTTGTGGATATAAGAGTTCGAAAGTTTAATCCATATTTTATACATTTTTTTTAGGCTAAAATGCCATTAGTTTTGGCCGATCAACCAATTTTGTATTTTCCCCTAAATTTTTCGCCCAAGCTTTACTCCAATCCAACATTCCACATTGCCCAAATTAACTATTTTATATGCTGGAATGTGGGTAGAAATTCAAAAATAGCCAGATTTATAAGTGGTCGTTCAAAAATAGCCCAATTTCAAAAGTAATCGAAATTTAGCGAATAGCCTGGGAGACACTTGTACTTGTTCCGGTTTGTCATCCCGGTCCCTACACTCCATAAAGTTTCATCTAGACACTTCAACTTAATCAAAACAAGACTTTTAAACTCTTCGGAATCGCGTGAAGCTCACTTGCTTGACGTGGATGACAAATCAACATCCACATCAGATTCTATGCCAAAATAATATTATTTAACAAAATTTTAATTTCTTAAACAAAAAATAAAATAAAATAAGAAAAAATTAAAAATAAAGAAAACCCCTCCTCCCTTCTTCAAACCCACCTACTCAACCTTCTTAAAATAATAACTCACCTGCCATAGCTTCTCCACCATGAGTACCACTATTTCCTTCACTCTTCTTTTAAAGAAAGTTAGTTATCCATGAAAAATACATGAGCAGAGAATTAGGTCTTTTGAATTTTAACTTATTCCTCTACCCCAATTTGAAAGGGCTGTGAAAAAATTTGAAAGCTAAAACCATCGGAAAAAATGGAGGAAGGGACTGAAGAAGAAGAGGAGGGGGGGGGGGAGAGCGAAGGGGGAAGGCATTGAAGAAGAGGGGGGGGAGGGCAGAACGAAAGGGAGAAAGGGATGAAGAAGAAGAGGAGGGGGGGGGGGGCAGAACGAAAGGGGGAAAGGGATGAAGAAGAAGAAGAAGAGGGAGGGGGGCGAGAACGAGGGGGAAGGGTTGAAGAAGAAGAAGACGGGGGTAGGGGGGAGGGGGGGGGCAAAACGAAGGGGCCCGGTAGGGGCTGAAGAAGAAGAATAGATTTTTTATTTATTTATTTATTTATTTTATTTTTTAATAAAGAAAAATCATCAGCTCACGCACCTAATGTGCGTGTAAATCACTTATTTTGTCCACCTCAGCCATATCAATGCCACATAAGCCCGGTCAACGGTCAGAAGGGTTTAAAAGTCTTGTTTTGATTAAGTTGGAAGTGTCTAGATGAAACTTTATGGAGTGTAGGGACCGGGATGACAAACCGGAACAAGTACAAGTGTCTCCCAGGCTATTCTGCCACTTTTCATGTAAAGATAAATCTGAGCGAAAACACTGTTCCGGAAAATATGCCAGTATATTATGCTGGAGTTCCAACATAAGTATACTTGAACTCCAGCATATTATACTGGAGTTCCAGGATAAGTATGCTGGAACTCCAGCATAATATGAAGGAGTTCCAGCATAAGTACACTAAAACTCCAGCATAATATACTGGAGTTCCAACAAGTATACCGGTCCAGTATATTATGCCGGAAGTTCATACACAAGTGCTCGAATCTCCAGTATATTATACTGAAACTTTCCGTGTGTTGAAGTTCCAGCATAATATGCTGGAAGTTCATACACAGGTGCACCGAACTCCAGTATATTATGCTGGACCGGTCTTTGTTGCAGCAAAATAGTGGCTATTTTTCATTGATTTGATAAACGCTGGCTATTTTTGAATGATCAGTCCGAAAACTGGCTAGACCGTACTATTTTGTCTGGAATGTGAGAAATACTTGGTTTAATTTGAGGAATGTTGAGAATATATATAATGGGTGATAGGATTGAAATGAAAGCGTCTCAGGGTACAATAGAAACCTTGGGAACAGGAGGGAGTTGAAAAATAAGGCAAAGGGCGAGAAATTTTAATAGAAGTAAATAAAAGTACACAGTTCCATTGCATTTTGAGTATAGTTTACAAATGAATAGAAGTCACAGAACCTAGATTTTACTTTCACCACTATTGAGAAATAGAACCAAAAACAAGCCAAGGCACTAGAACTCTAGGCCTAAGAGCTTTACCATTCAAATGGCATATTAACACCCAAGCCATGTTTGTAAGGATAAATACACTAATCTAAGCAACAAAATTTCTGAGATATATTAGTAGTTCACAACACTGGTAGAAGTCCAAAAAAGGATTCTCCACCATTAAATGTCCATCAACTTAGTTCACTTCTCCATACTATAGACCAGCTATGGGCAAGTTTGTTGCAATACACAAGGTGAGAAAAGGGCAATCAACAAAGGATATCTTCTTAAACAGGCGATTAAATCGGCCTTGCTGATCTTCCCGTCGTGATCTGTATCAAACAAGGTGAAGAGTCCATGGATCTGCAATGGTCAAGATAGAAAAACTTAAATAAGATGTATAACAATAAGAACAAGCATAAAATTTTCACAATCTTTGAACCTAATTTCTAGAAAAATTATCTGTATTATTTAAGCAAAGTAATCCACTCTTTTTTCTCGGTCAGAAAGTAATCCGCTCACTCAAGCAATTGACAAGCCAATTGATGAGTCTCTACTTAAGTTCATTCATGCACAACGTGCTATCTTTATACATTTCTTACAGGTTAAACAAACCCCTCGATTTTACAAAGCAATAACACTTATCAGAGTGGTAAAACTTGAATTGACCTAGTTTACATGCAAAAATAGTACAGTTACTTATCGAGTCCACACAATAATGTCTAAGTGGCCTTAGAGTTTCCCAAGACTAGCCAAAAAGCAACTCACCTCATTGTTACTCAAACCAGGAAGCGATAGCATAAGAGAACACCCAAACTGCAAAAGCGCATGGAAGTTATAGGGACAAGCCATATCTGTAGTTGGCTGATAACAAGAGCTATCAGACAAAATGAATGAGGGTGATAATACCTCTTGCTCCAAAATGTAGTTCTTCCCACCGTCATCACACGCAGTAAAAGCTGATTCACAGGCTTGATGAAACAATGGCTGCTTCAAGATATGAGCTGAACCAACCAAAAACTGAAGGCAACTAACAGATCAATCATGAATTCTACATCTATAACTCCATTCACAAAACAAAGTCATTCCCCGACAACCATCCACCCCCCTTGGCGGAACCATAGTGGCAACATACACCAAATTGTACCTATTTAGTCAAAATGACTATCATAGGAAAAGCCACTAAAGCTTTCAAGCCTAAATGGAAATTTCTTTTCAAAATTTTTTTAAAACGAGTTCTCGAACTGCAACATATGATTCAACAAAAAGGAATTTCATTATCATCAACGAGAGAAGCTCTTACTATTTTTATTTATTTTAAGATCAAGAGTTCCACTAGACATCTCACACCCTCTTTTATCATCATACTTTGATCCTGGATATCAAATATTAATTTTCAAAAAGTAAAATATGAAGCTCAATGAATGTCATTTGACATATATCATTCGCCATATGGAATCGATGTCCTCGTTATCCTCTGTCAGCTTTTCAAATTGACGATGATGGATTACAAAGTAAAACTATTTCAAGTATAGTCTTGAATATCTTCAGAGATAAGATCCTTTTTTTCTCCTTGATGGGTGTCTCCGAGGCACTGCCAACATTTATGGGGGGGGGGGGGGGGGCAAAGGAAAACTCAAACAGCAACATGAATAATGGGATGCAAAGAAAATTCAATTATGTTTGAGGCATAAATGCCAATATCTACGAGAAAACAAAAACTGTAGATCAGATTATAGCCTCATAAATCAGAATATGGTTCCAAAAACAAGTATGCAGATGCCAGATAACAACTATATTTCAGAAGAAATTGGTGGAGGAAGAGCACCTGCTTGAATGTTACTTTACAGCTCTTCTGCATATCAATGAAGCCAAATATCTGCGATACAAGAAAGAATAGCTCAGGGAGATGAAGCAAGTTATTATACTTCTTATAAGTATTTTCTTTTAACATAATAGACTTCTTTAAAAGAAAATTATTATACTTCACCAATACAATTGACCTGACAGACATCATCTTTAACTTCCTATTACCTTATGGTAACTAATATGATTTTCAGAAACAATAATCTTCACTCTTATGTGTCATTTGGTAGAAAGCTTGATATCCTGAGAATCCTAGGTATATAGGATGGTGATGAAGTGATCATCTGTAGAATTGCACTTAGATTCTCATGTTTGATATGTCAAATTGATCATGATTGTTAAAGTATGCAGACCTTGTCATCTAAAAGTATAAGCTACTAGCGATGACAAAATCTTAATTATGTCATCGCTACGGCTCCTCACTTGCCTAATTCTTTTATCTGGACCAAGCACATGGATTATTCTAAAGAAGGGTGGCTGTCGAACTCGAACCCAAAACTTTTATCTGCTCTGATACAGTAAAGAGTGAACTGCCTAATCAAATAGTTTAAGTTGTTAGAGAGGATACACTTTATTTGCTAAATTATGTCTTGAACACAATGGTATCTCATTATTAAACCAGTCCAACATTGAATATCTTTAACAGATTAATATCTTAGCTCCACGACACCCCAGACACAAATTTTGCCCCATTTCAGCGAAAAAATTTACAAGAAATTTTCTCAACCATCGATTACCCAACCTACAAGTAGGACCTCCTTCATCAACTCCACATTTTACCAATCAAATTGAGTAAGCAAAAGTACAAAGAAAATAGCTACAGAATAACTAGCGCACACACTGACCAAAGAAAAGGTTGAACTAATAAAACAAAAAGGGATACAAATTATTCAAAGAAGAAAAAACCGAATATGTAATAAAAGAATAAGAAACAATAGCAAAGATAAACTATAAACTTTGGAAATAAACTACACGAAATTAGGTATGTAGCCATAAAAAGAAAAAGAAAATATTGAAGGGGGGGATCTATTTCTTGAGAATGAAGACTGGGGAGGAGAGCAACATGCTTGTTGGTTGGTGAGAGCAAGAGGGAGGGATCAGAGAACTGATTGCAGCAAGTTTCTTCTTTTTTTCCTTTTTACTTTTTTGGCCAGAAGATCTGGTTTTGGGAGGGGGTGGGGGGGGGCGAGCACAGGGTAGGAGTATTAACGGTACTATATGCACGGTCAAAAGAAGTTGGAGAAGAAGACAAGCAAAGTAGAGCCAGCAGAAACGAGGGACACTGCAAGTGGTGGATGGCGGTGGAGGAGGGGGTGACAAAAGGAAAACCAGATTTGGGTATGTATACTTGAAGTAAAAGTATTCCCTCTCTAACTACTTATCTCAACTTAATATTTATATGATGCATCACATAATTCAACATGGTATCAAGTAAGCAAAGATCATAGTCCTTGGGTCTCTCACCGCCACCCATCAGCTGTCCACATGCTTTGCAAGAAAATGAATTAGACATGCACGTGAAAAAGCATGCTCCATACCTAAGATAAAGATAAATATCTGTGACCCCTCTCCAAATGTTTAAGCTTTTTGATGAGGCAGTAAGCAGTTCACATATTTTGATAAAAATTGACCCTTTTATTTTAAGTTTGAGGGTCAAAGTGTTCTATCAGGATCTAACCCCATGAAATTTTAATTCAGAATAGCAATCTTCCTCCAACCCGCAACCTGATGATATAATCCCACGTTGGCTAACGTGGCAATCATAAGTTTAGCCCAGTCCTTGGCATTCAAAATACCACCTAGCACCCTGTTTATAAAGTTTTTCTTGGGGGGTTAAGACTACCACCCTGTTTATAAAGTTAAAAGACATTGAAAACAAAAATAGGGTACCAAGTAGAGTAGTCTTCGCAAAAAGCTGATAAGAAATGACAGCAAACACACAATGCAGTGAGAAAAGACATTGGCATTCCCAAGAAAGTAACTCCTAAAAGGTAAAGAACTAAGTGACCAATAAAAGAAGTAACAACTATCAGGGAAACAGCTGCAAGAGAATGAATGATGAGAGCCCCAACAAGAGAACATATGCTCAAAGTTCTGAACTAAGAGTCTAAGACAATCAGAACCAATATTTTTTTTTACCTTTTCAGAAAGAGTACAGGGTTTCAGTCTTAAAACCCTGAGGAAGTCATGAATCTCGACCTGTCCCCTGCAGAAACAAAGGATATTACTGCAAGTACAATTTACAATTAATAAAATTCCATAAAAGCAAAACTAGAAAATCTAGTCAAGATAGGAGAAAAAACGTGATATATCATGATATATGAAAACAACAAATTTCAAATTTTCTCTAGAGACCATAACTTGAAAGGAGGGAGTAACACCCGTATAACATGAGAATGGGAGAAACTCACACAATAAATAGAGATTGTGAGAAAGAGAATTACATTTAGACATAGTCATCTAACAAGAAAAACCAATGAAATTGAGCAAGAGATGCAGGCATCCAACTTAAATCAGTTCATGAACAAACAAAAAAGAAAAGACCGGATCCCACAAAGAGCCATGACGGGCACAAATAAGTCCGGAAATGTTAACCTTCTCTTTGTAAAGTCAGGAGAAGTATAAACTGATGGTACTTTTTGAGTAATTAATTGTTATATATTATGAATGTGAATAGAGCAACAGAGAATTAAGGACAGCGATCTCAATTTCACCAAGTTTGTACCAGAAGACACCTAAAGTTATTAGTCAACAAAATATATGCATACGTACAACCAGCTCCCTTGCTACCAGGCCAACAACAACAACAACAACAACTACCCAGTATAGTCCCACAAGGTGGGGTCTGGGGAGGGTAATACGTACACAGGCCTTACCCCTACCCGAAAAGGGCAGAGAGGCTGTTTCCAATCGACCCTCGGCTCAGGAAAAGGAAAAGGAAAACAAAAACAAAAGAGCATTAGTAACTCCAGCAGAAATCACATAAATAATTATCTAAACATAAACCATAAATAAAATGGCATGCAAATATATCGACCAGTAACTACCATAAGGGGGCACAATACAATACACAGATCATCTATGGAGAGCCCTACCAAACCCCCCCCCCCCAGCCCCGGGACAGAAGTACAAAAAATTCTAGAAGCCCCTATCCTACAACCCTGATACTAGACCTCCAGACTTTCCTATCAAGGGCCATGTCCTCGGAAATCCGCATTCTAGCCATGTCCTGCCTAATCACCTCTCCCCAATATCTCTTGGGCCTCCCTGCCTCGACTCGCGCCAACCACCGCCAGCCGCTCACAACTCCTCACCGGGGCAATACCCAGATATTTATCCAGCTTGACGTCCCTTCTGTGATATGAAGACATGTATTTTATTCATGATCTACAGGTCTAACCCCCCCCCCCACCACACACACACTACTACTACTACTACTTACTT